ATTGGCAATATCTACAAAATTAAAATGTATTGGACAATATTGTACGTTGAAAAATGGTATTTCTTAAAAAAATAAAATCAGTCAAATGTTTCTGTCCATTCGCTGAATGCTCAGTGAGACAATTTTTTGAAACTTTGTATTGCCTGAAGCCCAATGTATCAGGTGGAATGTTATAGATTACTTTATAGATTACTACATACGAAATTCTTCAGATGCCCACCTAAAAAAAAAATCGCAGATAGATAGATCTCGGAATCAGGATGGCCAATCCATAAATATTATAAGAATGGATAGGACACGCCTATACTGGCTTCGTAAGAAGTTGCGGTCTTTTTTGGGGAAGAGAGAAAGTTAAATATCTACTAGAGAGATAGACTATAAGAGTGCTTTTTGAGGTTAGGTTACAAAATTGTAATATTATCAATAATGATTATTAAATTATAATATGCAATAAATTATAATTAAAATAACTAAACTTTTATTTCATATTCATAATTTTATTATTTGTTTTTGTTTTTTTAAATCGTATTAATATGTATCAATAATTAAGGAACTCTTATAACCTCAAAAATGTCACTTTATTCTCAGTTGATAAGCCCGATGTCCTATCCAGTCTTATAATATCTATGGGCCAATCAATGTCAACATGGTGATAACGTGGTTACTGAAAAATCGTCAGAGATATTGCTACCATCGAGCGGGGTTGCTCCTTCCTGTTGAAACCACGTGTTTTCAACGTCATTGTTTGGTAAACTTCGAAGTTTAGCATTGTGACATAACGTCGGGAAGTTACTATGACTGCAGTAGCTAGGTACCACATTCATCTCCGATAAAATACGGTCCAACCGCCCTCCACGATTGGAAACCATGACTGTTAAATTTTTAATTATTCATTAATAACTTATGGCTTTAAGTAAATAGAATTTTTAAGTGATATGATAATAATAAATTAATTTTTAATGCAATAGATAGGTAATAAGTAATAAGAGGTAACAAGGTATGTCATAATAGTGCTTATTGTTAAACGCTTTGTATGGTTGGGCAGAAAAAATGTAAGCGCACAGTTTTTACTGTTTTAAAAGTTAATTTGGTAAAAAAGTATATATTTTACATAATTTTCATAAAATAAATTTCATAATAGATATAATATTATAGTGTATAATTTATAATCTATATTATATACAACATATGGGCACATTATATGATAATTGTACTAATAATTAATAAGTGGTAACCAAGGTGTATTGATAAGGTGTCGTCACTTGTTTGAAAACTTGATTGAAAATTTTACTACAGATAGACATCAACACCGGGAGCGCTGTATGTCCTAAAGAGGCCTATAAACGAACACTTTTGTACACCAAAGCCATAGAAAATTCAAAATATATTATGATTTAAGGAATAAAATTCAACATTTTTCATTGTTCTAAAGTATTTGTATTTTGTATGCATGTATTTAAATACTTTCTTTTTATCAAATACAATTATTAATATTATTAAATATTGTCATTTTTAAATTTCCTATTCCAAAAAAATACATGAAAAATGTATTAGTTACCTATTAGTAATTCACTAAATTATCATAAATAATGATTTCAGAGTGTTAAATAACCAAATAATAGTTCATTATTACATGGACGTAAATAGGGAGGGCCAGAGGGGGTTTAGACCGCTCTGAGCCATCTTAATCCCTCTCTAAGATATGTACATAATTTTAACACTACATATTTTAATATATAGCCAATCTTTATTATAATAAAATATAAATTATACATTTATACCTATAATTTATGAGCTAAAAAATGTGCTATAAACAATTATTAAATATAGGTTGGACGTTGGTACTCTGCGACTCAAGGAATCTACTGGAATAATTTTAGTAATTTAGTATTTATAATATTACCTATGCCCTATGGGCTATCAAAAATTCAAATGCATACATTTTTAATACCTTTTTATAAGCATTTATTACTTGGTTGTACCTATATAATATTATTATATTATATTAACAGAGATCCTGGGGATAGCAACATATATGATAAATGCTTGATAGATTTATATGGTCATCATAGATCAGTGCTTCTCAAGCTGGAGGCATGACTATATATTGGCATGGCTATTTTATTTAAACTATTTTCTTTAGGTTTTAAGAAAAAAAGTATAAGTACTAAAAACATTAATTTACTATAATTTTAATAATTTATCTGTGTGAAATAGTACATGTAATTTTTGTATATAATTAAGAAAAAATAATTAATGATTTGATTAAGGGGCCTTGACAGTTTTATGCTCTTGAAAGTTGAACTCATTCTTTCTTCCTTGAAAATCTTTAATTTAAAGATTTCAACTAGGTTGCAAATATCACAAGAAGTGAGGAAATTATACATCATAATATTTTATAATTGATTTTTACTTGATAAAAAATATTTAAAACAAAAATGCAAATGTAAATTATAATTACAGGCTCCAATTATTATAAATTATAATATATATTAGACGCTAACTCCAAAAAAAATAACATTTTAATTCATACTTCATAGGTTAAAGGCATTTTGCATATTTTAACAGTATGAAAAAATCGGCTTTCATAGGACAGGAAGCGCCCTCTGGTGTCTATAGAACTAAGGTGTCGTCACTCTGAACCCCTATACGTATAAACTCTTGATTGAAATTTTTACCACAGTTCCTATAGACACCAGAGCGCGCTTCCTGTCCTATGAAGGCCTAATTTTTTATACTGTTAAATGCAAAATGCCATAAAACTATGAATTAAAATGTTATTTTTTTTGGAGTTAGCATCTAATAATTTTAATTTACATTTGTATTTTTGTTTTAAATATTTTTTATCAAGTTGACATCAATTATAAAATATTATGATGTATAATTTAGTCACTTCTTGGCAGTGGCGTATCCAGGATTTTTTTTAGGGGGGGGGGGGGGGGGGGCACACACTGTCTAAAATTTTACCATATAAAATACTAACTAAAATACCACCAAAAACAAAAAAAATAAAATGTAACAATTGCATTTAACGGAAGATCATTTTCGTATATTTTTGCAGCCTCTAAAATAGTTTTAGTATCATATTTATTGAAATGTGATGGGATTAACCCTTCAAGTGGAAAAATTTCTCTTAACCTTTGATCAAATCGAGTCCTTAATTCACATATAATTTGGTCTAGAAATGGAATGAATATAGTTATTTTGTAATAATCTTCCGGATTTGTAACGTTCACATTAGCTCTTTGATTTTGTTTGCCACAAACTCGAGGTATTTTAATATCGACGTCTATTTTAGAACCAATCTTAAGTACTTCACTAAATATATTTTTGAAATGACTATCAACATTTTTACGAATAGATTCTAAAGATGCTCGTACAGTTACAACTTCATTTAGTGCTTTTGATAAGTCTTGTTGTTTACTTTGAAGAATTTGACTTAAATTTAATGTACCTATAAGAAACGGAGACCGTTAAACTGTCCGTGTCACCAAAACAGCTGTGTAACTATTCACTGGCGCCCTTTGGAACTAGAACCCCGTTAGTGAAACGTGATAACGGTAATAGTGATTACTGAATACTGGTATATTAAGGCATAAGATAAGCGTATTATTGAAGTATGCGTTCATTGCGTTCATGTATATGAATACATTTAAATCTTTAAAACAAAATCTAGTAAATACGGCCAACGAGGGGGGGGGGGGCATGGCCCCTGTGCCCCCCCCCCCTGGATACGCCACTGCTTCTTGGGATATTTGCAACCTAATTGAAATCTTTAAATTAAAGATTTTCAAGGAAGAAAGAATGAGTTCAACTTTCAAGAGCATTCAAGAAGTTACATGTGCAAGATACAAGCAATACATACTGGACCCATATCGGACTCAGACTTAGATACGAGTCGATACGTAACTATTCCTAATAGATACTTATCAAATTTTTCTACTTTAATGTTCATGTATATAATTCTAGCCCTAATTTTAAAAGTAGTCTTTTAGAGTTGAGTATTATTATTTTCTAGTGCACATACAAAATTCTATTAATATAAATTATAATTTTTTTCACATTATTATACCTAGGTAACTCAAACTAATTTTGAAATTTTTTTAAGTTTTTTTTGTGTTTTCTTTTTTTTAGCAACTTGCTCATTTTTCCTTTTACAAGCAAATATCATCCTTGTTTTGACATAATATGTAATAATATATTTTGTTAGTATTTGGCTATGCATTGGGCAACCAACCTTTGTCAAAATGTTTTGTTTATTTATTTCTTCCATAACTACAAAATAAGTTTAAAAAATAAACAGTATAAAATGTGTGTGAAGTTTTTTAATTTAAATGCAACATTACAAACATACCTTCTATTAATATATGTTGTTTCATACATTTTTCTTCAATAATTTTAGTTATTATTACTTCTAACTTAAAAATAATTTCTTTCAAATTATTTGAAGGGATTAATAAAAATCCCTTGCTTCTTGATTTTATTAGATTATCCTCGGGATCCAAGTTTTGCACATTGATATCTACATCATTAATCAATGATAAATAGCAGTTTTCACAATGTTTGGCAGTTGAAAATTGTTTAGCCTGTCTTGCAATGTAACCAATGAAATATGTTAGGGCTAACACATGCCCTTGCAACTCCCCAACCAATTAACACAAATCAGTAGTGCTCTTATTGTCGGGTCCCGCTCTGATGGCGCGCTCTAGTAGTAATTTGTATTTTAATAATTTATTACTCATTCAAAGATTAAACAAATAGATAAACATTTTTACTGTTATAAATTTATAATAGTAATTATTATTTAAAAGTATAAAAATATAAAAACACCTAAAAATTAATATTATACTAAATACGTTCATAGGCTATAAAAGAATAAAACATTTCAATCTAAAAATTAAAAAAATATTATGAAATGATTAAAAATACCAAGTATCAACATTTAAAATAACCAGAATCCAGATCTTACAGGTAAACTTTAATAAGTATTATTATTATTATTATGTTTTACAAAATTTAGATGGCTTTTTTTTTTTTGAGTTTTCTTTAGATTGTTCTTGATTTGACTGTCTCGTGTACTGTCGCATTCGCATACTTATGTAGTATTTTATTGAATAAGAAATGATGTAATCTTTATGTTCTGCACATGGGAAAGTGAACGATTCTAATTTGGTGATTAATCCTTCTAAAATATCATCAAATACAGTTACACTTTCACAATTAAATTGTTTAAGTCGACAATCATCGAAATAATAATATTTTGGTACTTGGCCGGTAGGTGGCGCCACCAGAGCGGGACCCGTCAATAAGAGCTTCATATTCGGGGATTAGTTGCCAGACCTAATAATCTAAGACCGTGGGCTGACATGTCAATACTATCGTTTATTGAAAAGTCTTGTTCCGTGTAAGTATGGTCTAATAATGCATCAAAATGTCCTTCATCTAAAAAATCATCAATTTGTTGTTCTAGGTTAACCCTAGTTAATTAATCATTTTTTGATCCTATTGACGTCATTTTAATCAAAGAATTTAAAATTTCACTACCACTTATGTTACTGCCTTTGGGTGGTTCTATAAGAGAATAGCAAGAGAGCAAACGATAAATTTGTTTGAATTGTAAAGGATCCGGATGTTGATTAGCTCCACAACCTTGTCTTAAATTTCCAAATAGGTGCTTAAAAAGTCAGTAAGAAAAATGTATATAAATAAGAAGTAGGTAACTTAAGTAATTTCTTAAAAATGAGTTAATATATTACTTCATAGTAAGAACTTACTTCAATATTATCCTGATTTATTCGCCTTGTCATTAAATATGAGTAACCTACTTTGTTACATAAATATTCTGAAAGTTCTAATGCACCTTTTAGTGATACCAAAAGCCCAGTTTGTGTTTGGATTGTGAATTGGTTCTGTTTGTCTGTACATGTTTGCCAAGTTTTCAAAAAATCTATGAATTCCTCTAAAACCTAATCAAGTAAAATTATAACAAATATCTTATTAATTATTGTAATACATAGATTATAATAGTTTTTTTTTGTCTTTATTTACATTGTTGTTTGCAGATGAATTACTTCCAAGTCCGGGCATTTCAGTTTTTGAATTCATAATGTCCGCCATCGTATTAATTTTTCTTATGAATTTTATGGTTGGACCACAATGTATAAAATCTGGATGACCTCTGTTCATTAATTCTTCCATACAATCTGCTACAGTACCACTAAAAAACTGAAACATGCAATTAAGTCAAATTAAAAAATGTAAAACTAAATTTTACTCTATTTTAAGTCTATGCTTTATAATACTTTTTATTTATAATGTTTGTAAAATTATCTTATTTTTTTGAATATTATAGAATGAATAACTTACTGTGAAAGCCATTTTGACATTCATTGTTTGATAATTTTGAGGATACAAATGGTCTTTTTTTTAATTTAAAACACAATTTAATGTGTTTTTGTTCGTCATATTTGACCAATGATTTCCAATGATCAAATTCAACTTTACCATATGGAGTCTAAATTAAAAAATATAGAGTAAGCACCTTATTTGGTAATCAATTATAACTATTGTATAAACATATTAATTAATTTTAGATTGTAAATGTCATAGCTACCATGAGAGTTTTGCACTTCAAAATTCTTTTCCACATTGTTTTCATCAAATGAGGAAAATCTGACGTGAACCACAATTTTCTAGTTGAATCAACAGGATGTTGACAACTAACATTATTCTCATTAATATCAAAAAGCTTCCACATTGCTCTATTCCAAGATCCGCCGTCAGTAACAATATTATGAACTTGGAGTCCTTACTTTTCTAACAATAAGATACTTTCTAGTATTAATTTTTGTAGAATATCACATTTTGCTGCGCCTTTGGTTAAAAATGCTCCTATTGCTTGAATCCATGAACTTCTAAAAGGTTGATACATAATTACCAACGCGTGATCTCCCATTTCATGTTGCTGGCTTTTTTGGTGTATATTTTCCTAAATCAACTAAACCATCAACTTCTAATGTGGATTTATTAAATGATACCGTTGGAGTTAAAGCCATTTCATCCAATATCAAACATCCTAACCAAAGTAATCATTTTAATTAAATAAATATTTAAACAATACATTTCATCATTTTAGAAAATATGTATACCGTGTTTTTTGGAGGTGAGGTGGGTGTAGGAGAGAAGAGTGATTTTGTGAAAATTTGTGATAGAAGTTACAGAAGCCGAAAAATGATTGAAGGTCTTTTTTGTTACGGGGTTCGGGAAAATTTTGAAGAGCTTCGATTTTGTCAGGTTCCATTACCATACCTTTGGGGGATATGAAATGGCCGAGAAATTTAATTTGTTGTTTTATAAAATAACATTTTTTTAAATTTTAAAATGAGGCCTGCTTGTGAAATTTTTTGGAAAATCCACTCAAGAGTGTCGAGATGACTTTCGAAAGAAGGGGAAGAGACGAGAATATCGTTCACGTAGGTGTGAATAACGTTCGGGGACGTACAGTGTATAGAATAATTATTTAAAGCTGTCTCAAGTCAAGGCGGCATTGGAAATGTTCAGACCAAACGGGACAACACAGAACTGGTAGGACCGACCATTATATAAGAAACTTGTATACTGACGCACTGACGGATTCAGGGGAATTTGCCAATAGCCTGAAAAGAAATTTAATGAAGAGAAAAAGGATTTGTTATTAAATTTTGCTAAAATATCATCAATAGGCGGAAACGCATCTCGAGTGTGGAGTATAATCACAGAACAATATAGAAGCGAAATTCGATCAGCTGATTGGGGTTTTGTTTCCCTATGATCTGAAGTCTGAACCTCCGAAAAACATGGAAACGTATCCCGTATCAACATGATGTTAGACCCAAAGTCACCCGTATTATGTAAACGTATTCGCCAAATTGGCGGGGTACGCTGTGCGTGGTCGGCTTATTTCCCGTAGGCCGTAACCACGTTTTGTTTACTATCGTTCACTTTTGCAAATTTTGCTAACACTGGTCCACAGTTTTGTATTTTGTAGTTTTGTTTTTGTATTCAACAATTATATAATACGATTTTTGTTTACATTTTCACTTTTAAAATGGTTATAAAGTGTTTAGTGTGTTCAAATAAGTATGGACCATTGTCAAGTGTTACATTTCATAGATTCCCAAAGGATAGCGAAAGGTAAATTTAATTAATTAAATATTAATAATGTATTAATCTAACAATGTTGTAACATATAATTTTATGATGTCTTAGATTTTATAAGTGGGTTAGAATCTGCCGCCGTCCTGATCTATTAGATGAGGGTTAATTCGTTTGCTATCAAAAATTTAAATTATGTTCAGAGCACTTTCTGAAAACAGATTTTATTAATCGTAGGTTGAGTAGTGTTGCTGTGCCTTCAGTATTTAGATGGTCTGATATAGAATTGAAACAAACCAGAAGTTCAGACATTATTACTGAGGAGTCCATTCCTAGTACTTCAGGAATAATGGCTGATTCTGTTGACAATAGTGGGTCTCTATCGGCAATCAATTGGTCAAACATATCTGCCATATCTTGTTCAACACCTAAAAGTAAATATACCTACATAATAAGTAAGTAAAATTATATTAACGTTGTATTTTTTTTTTGTAGCCAGCTCTGTGTCGAGATCATTGTCATATTCCTCAGGCAATAGTTCCACAACCACTTCTAATTCTCAAGCTCAAACACATCAGAGTCAGTCAATCAATACACCGCGAAAGGGTAAACTGACCAAACTGCTGCTAAGTATACAAAAAAATAAATTTAATGATCTTCATAAAAAATTTTTTACTCTAAAAAAACATTGTTCTAACCAAGAAAAAAAGTCTTCAACATTTAAGTTTTTTCATTTAATTTTTTTGAATAAAGGTTTTGCAAATTTTGTTAAACTCCAGTCCAAATTAGCACTGCAAGATCCCCGTGGACATAGGTTTTCTTATGAGGCAAAACAATTTGCACTCATGGTACATTTTATGGGAACTAAAGTGTATAGATTTCTTCAGAAATCCTGGAATTTGCCTTCCGTTAGAACTTTGCAAAAAACTACAGAACATTGGGAAATTAATCTTGGTTTGAATGACTTTTTATTTAAAGTTCTAGCAGTGAAAGCAAACTCCATGACAGTGAAGTCTAAAGAATGTGTCTTGTGTGTAGATGAAATGTCTATTAAATCCTTTCTTTTCTTTGATTTCAAAAATGATGAAATAGTAGGTTTTCACAATACAGGATTCATTAAGTCTTTCCATGTTACTAAATCAGTTATGGTCATTATGATTAGTGGTTTGCATAGTTCTTGGAAACAACCTATAGGCTATTTTTTTGTCGCTACTACTTGTACTGGATATGATCTGCAAAATATAATCTTCCAAACTGTTCAAAAAGTGTCCAATATTTCTTTTAATGTAGTAGTCATGATTTCTGATTTAGGCTCAAATTTCAAGCGCTTTGCAGATCAACAAGGCATTACCCCCAGACCCCTTACTTTAATGTTAGAGACAAAGAAACTGTTTACATGTTTGATCCACCTCATTTATTAAAGACAACTAGAAATAACTTTTTCAATTCTCAAAACAAAATAGCAGAAAAAATTCATCTTACAAATTGCTATGACAATGATAAAAGTAAACAACATCGATTGGCACCTAAATTAACTGATGTTCATTTAAATCCTAATTGTTTTCAAAAAATGAGAGTCAAATTTGCCTCTAAAGTTTTTAGTCATACGGTGGTTGCAGGGATGACTACCCTGGTTTCTTGTAATGAATTATCGCATAGTGGCATAGTGCCTTCGATACAATTGATTTCATAGATTCCATGGATAAGCTGTTTGATATATTTAATTCTCGTCCCATTTCTACAGAAGTTTCTAATCAAGATGGATCACAACGTTATTAATTACCATTTTCAAACTCCATTATCCAGCGAAACTTTTTATTCCCATTTTAAATCATATGAAGGAAATCCTTCTTTATTATTCGGTGATTTATTGATGCCCGATTCTAATTTTTCAAATTAATCAAGTTTTTTTTAGACATTTCATTTCATTAGCTCCTCAACCCAACGTGGGTAAGACTCTTAAAGATTTAATTTTAAATACAATTTTTTCTATCATCCGTGTGATAATTTTCCTAAAGACTTCTTAATTAACTTATTCTTAAGATTTCGAATATTCAACTCATTAAATAGAACCAACAAAGAATCTCAAGCATTATGTACTGGTAAAAAATACAGGAAAGTTCAAATTCTTTCAAATTTATAAATATTGAATTTAAAAAAAACCAGCTGTTGATATTAATTCATT